TATCTCAGTGTTGTTTTAATTTGCATCTCTTGACTGACCAATGGTGCTGAACACTTTCTCATGTATTTATTTGCCATTTGTATCTCTACATTTGTGGAGTATATATTCATCTCAGATGCCCATTTTTGGATTGAGTCTTTGAATTTTGGAGGCTTGATTTTTAAAAAAAATTCTTTATATGTTCTACATAGGAGTCCTTTGTCTGAAGAAGGGTCCACTATACTTTGTCCCAATTTGTGGGTTTTCTTCTTATTCTGTTGGTTGTTTCTTTAGACTTGCAGAAACTTTTCAAAAATATGAGATCCCAGTTTTTCTTTCAAATATTTTCCATGAAGTTGGATTTTTGTTCATGAAAACAAAAAAGTCATACCTCCCCCTATGTCCTTAAGGTGTCCACCTACTTTGAAGACAGCATCATGTAGTACAGCAACCATTGTTGAATTCCTACTGCTTCATTTCGTGAAATGTTGTATCATTTCTAAGGCTGTTTTTTCCTATCATTATTTTTTATTCTTTAAAAAAATTATTTGCTTATTATTTCAGTTGAACTTTTATTATTTCTGTTGCTAGTGGTATGGTAATGATGAAATCATACAGGACGATTACCACTGAATATTTAAAAGATCTAAGTATACTGTAGAATAGATCCTTTATTTGCTGTTAAGGGAGACATTCTAGGGCATTTCATACTCTTTTAGGCAGCCTGGTGACATTACATGTTTCTAAAATGTAAACCTTAAAAAAGGACTTGCAAACTTTTCTTTCTTTCTTTCTTTCTTTCTTTCTTTCTTTCTTTCTTTCTTTCTTTCTTTCTTTCTTTCTTTCCCCAATTTTGCATGCATATATCTGAACAACTAATTCTTGACAATGTTATACAATACAAAAAGCACTGTCAAATTCATATTATTTTGTTTAGTGAAGGTCTGTACCATTTTTAACTTTTTCTTTTGTATCACTATTCTGTATATGCTTTAAAAATAAAAAAAATAATAATTAATTAATTTAAAAAGGCTTATAAAGCTATGAAAACACTTCTGGGCTGCAAGGCACTTCTTTTCTAATTCTGAAAAGCACACGGGCTAGTGATATTCTGACTCACGGGTTAGGAAAGACTCACATGTTTTGAAAATTGCTCCTGGTGTCGCTTGTCTCTTGTATGGTACTGCTAAAGATTGCCTACAAAGGCCTTTCTTTAAAGAAATTATTACAAAATCATAAACATTTTTTGAGTCTTTATTTGTGAAAAAATGTTTTGGTAGGGTGGCAAGCTCTGGAGAAAAAGTGTCAGAACTGATGCTGTCTTTAGCAAGCCTGCAACAGAAATCTGACAACTTGGGGTTAAAAAGTTAGCATAGAAGTGATTGTGTCTTTGATAGTCAAAAAGGGGAAGGGAGGGCCAGCTAGATAGCTCAGCAGATCAAGGTGCCTGCCCAGGCAGACGCAGGGACTGGGGTTCGATTCCCAGCATGCTGTGCTGGCTTTGCCCCCAGGACATGCTGAGAGTGCAGCAACTAAGACTGGGCGTGGTGGAGCGCACCTATAATCCCAGAGATTGGGAGGCTGAAAACAGGGGATCACTACAAGTCCGATCTGTGTAGTAGGACCCAGTAAATCCTGTACTAAATACATTTTTTTAAAAAAAGGGGAGAGGGGTTAAAGAATGGGAGCTTCTTAATCTACCCAAAAATTTATGTTTTGGAGCAGCCTAAGTTATGCTTAGGCGATTCCGTCTTCTGGTACACTTTAGAGCTAATAAGGAAGCGAGATGCCCCTCCCCACATAGAAATCAAAAGCTAGCACTCAGCAGCTCTGTGTTTCAGGGAGAGCATCTTTGGTCTTTACAGTCTATTTGTCTTACTTCTGTGAGCTTTACTGCTTTCACCGCAATGCCCTGCTGTTGCTTAGGTACCAAGTGTGGCGAGAATCTCTACATGTCAAGTGACCCTACTTCCTGGTCAAACGCAATCCAAAGCTGGTTTGACGAAAGCCAAGATTTCACTTATGGAGTAGGACCCAAGACTCACAGCGCCATCGTGGGGCATTACACGCAGGTCAGCAGGACAGCCAGCTCGGCCACAAATACTGCACAACGGCCAACTTCTCTAACTGATGACTAACTTCAGGGCTTAGTTTGGGGGTTCAGTCTGTGCATACATGAGATATTCTTAACATTTCCTTGGTACTTTATCAGGATCTGACACTTGTGTTCGGTCGAAGAAATTCCTGCTAGAGTAGCAAACAATTATTCTTTCTACATTGTAGAAGGAAAAATGCTCAATGTGTTCATTGAGTATTTCTTTTTTTAATATTTCTTTTTTAATACTCTTTTTTTTAAATACTCTTTTTTAAAAAAAAATAAATACTCAGTATTTCTTTTTTTCTTTTCTTGTTTCTTTTTTCTTTTTTTTTTTTTTTTTTCCGGACCCGGGGATTGAACTCAGGCCCTTGTGCTTGCCAGGGAAGCACTTATTCCACTGAACCATCTCTCTGGCCCCTAAAACTCAGTATTTCAATTGTGTGTGACTTTGATTCACTAACTCATATATGATAAAACTACATCACTAACATTTTTGGATGTTTTCTTGGCTGTTTGTTTTTTTCTTAACATTCCTCCTCTTTCATGATATAGTCTCCTGTCTTTATTCCCTTGTGAATTTGTAGCTTGTTTGGTATTCATCTTACCTCGTCGGCTGCGGAGTTGCCTACTGTCCGAATCAAGATAGTCTGAAATACTACTATGTTTGCCAGTACTGCCCTGCGTAAGTAGACGCATTTTTAATAGTACCACTTGCAATTTAATGTCTAAAACTCCTCATATAGCAAACAAACCAAACTAAAAAGCACATTTCAATAAAGAGACGATACTTCTTTGGAATTTTTTTCTAAGTTTGAGACACCTTAAATTTCTCAGAGAACAATCCAGTTCTCAATTACAAATATAAAATCTGAAGCTTTCCTTCCTAGGTGGATAGCAAATAAAGTTTGCTGTATTGTGATGTCAGCCTTTTCCTCACAAATATTTCTGATTACCTTTTTTAAAAATGTATTTAATGCAGGGTCTCCAGGGTCTCACTACACAGATTGGACTGGTAGTGATTCTCCTGTTTTCAGCCTCCTGAGCACTGGGATGACAGGCATGTGCCACCATGCCCAGTCTCAATTGCAGTCTCAGCGTGTCCCGGGTACAGGCCCAGCATGGCACCCTGGGGATTGAACTCTGGTCCCTGCCTCTGTCTAAGCTGGCACTTTAATCTGCTGAGCTCTCTGGGCAGCCCTATATTTCTGATTACCTTTTTAAAAATGCCTTTATTGTTACCATTATAAACAATCCACTCTTAGGTCTCAATGATTTTTTTGAAGTTCCTCAGCATTCTCATGGGAAACTTTAGTACCCTCTTCCTGAGGCCTTGTAGCAGAAACAGGACCCTTTATTAAGCAATATGTCTGGAGTTATACACAAAAAAAATTCCTATCCTAAAGATACATTCACAATGTATTTGCTGTTTTTAATTTTTTACTGTTTGAAGGGAAAGAAGCCCCAAATTAAGCATCCCATCACAGTTATTTAGAGACTGTGGACAAGCCAGATGGCAGGGTTGCCCTGGTTTAAGGGGCTGGACCTCTAAACGGACCTTTCTGCAAACACCTCCTAGGATTTAATGGAATTAAAAGGCCCTAGGAGAAGGCAGGCAAACTCAGTGCCTGGCCCGGGAGGAATGAATAATGAGAGGAAGCTGGGGAGGGACAACTTCAGAACACTTTTCCTTGGATTTCACAGTTTTTCCAGATGCTCACCCAAGTGCAGCAATGTCCTGTGGCTGGAGCTGAGGACAGGGGCACGGCCCTAACCCCCGTCCTACTTGACGTCATGGAGATTGGGCTCCTGGGCATTCCAGCGTTGCTTGGGGTAGGATAAGGGGCTGTAGGATATTGATCGTCCATGAGTTCATCAGGGTAAGATCATTACACCCTGGATATTGGTGTTTATCCAGCTGGTTTTTTAAATGAGTGCCCCTGCTTGCTAAACATAAATAAATAACACATGCCAGCTCTAGAAACTCACGGAGCATCTTGAGGCACATACTGCTCACAAACACAACTGATTAGAAGCCACTGTCCCCACCAATTAAATAAAATAGATATAGAAGCTGTATTTTGTGTGTCAAAATATATTTCTCATCTTTAAAATATATAATTGGTAATATTTTTATATTAATTTTATTGAGAAAGAAATAGCAATGAGACAGTTTCAAAACAGGTTAGTAGAACAGTTACAATAATTAATACATTGCATATTGTTGTCTTTGTAGGCGTTATTCAGAGGACAAGATGCAGACATGATCTCTTGTCTAAACACTATTAGTACAGGTCTTTGTTCTCTACAATGGCAATATTAAATATACTTTTCCTTAATGTAACTAGCTATCTTCTAATCATTTTTTTCCTCTCCTGGGAATATGAGTTGTCTCTGGTCAGCCCTCTCGGTTCCCCTGACTTAGCCAATCGACCAAATCTTTTCAGAAATGAAGAGGATGCTACCACAGCAAAAGATAGTCTGAAAATTCTAGGCACTGTTTATCTCATTTGAGGTGCTTCGGTTGTGGAATTACAGATGGGTCGCTTTGGAATTCGGGAATGTACACTCTTAGGTGATTTCCACTTTCAGAGTTGTAATTTTTCAGTTTTGTTGACACAGCGAAAGGCAGTAAATAACTATTTAGGGATTTTGGGGACTGAGGTCTGAGACCATGAGCCAAACAGCCAAGTGAAGACGGCTTACCCTGTGTGTTTCCAATTTCAGCGGGAACAGCGTGAGCGCAAAGAACACCCCTTACAAGCAAGGACAGCCCTGCGCCAGCTGCCCGGGGCACTGCGAGCACGGGCTGTGCAGTAAGTCCGCGGGCCGGCGGGGGGCTAGCGCAGGGCTGGCGCTGCCTTTTGTTTCTATGAATTGAGAATCTGCCCCGTAAGTTGCCCCGTAAGTTGCACAATGTGTTCATGAAAAAGCGAAAGCTAATGTTCCCGAATGTGTTTATGAACGTCATACACACTTCAGTAACCCACGCTTTACTTAGCATGGAAAGGACCTTGTTGTGCTGGAACCCGCTACACTGACCTCTGCGTAGGAAGAGCCTAGCAACCTTCGCTGGACACTCCTCTGATAGAGTTCATCTCATCAGTGTTAGCTGTGCCAAAAGTAGCGTTCAGTAGGCCCGGCCAGGTAGCGCAGCAGATTAAAGCTCCTGCTTAGGCAAACACAGCAACCGGGTTCGAGCCCTGAAAGCGACCCCGGCCCCGCCCCCCATCCAGGGCGCTCTGAGAAGGCGCTTGCGACTGGGCGTGGCGTGGCGCGCCCGTAATCCCAGCTCTTGGGAGGCTGAGCACAGGCAGATCACTACGAATCCAGTCTAGTAGTGAGACCCTGTGAACCCTATAGACCCTTACTAAAATTTAAGAAAAGTACTTAAAAAATCAAATTGTAAAAATATAAGGGTACTGAGACGGTAGTAAGGCTCAGTCTAGACTGGATACCAAACATTACTATTTATTCTACGCCAGTAATTTCATCATGATGATTTTATCAACTTCTGTAGTATAATTAGGATCATAGTTTTTATCTTAATAAATGTTAATTTGCTCTACAACTTAGTAGTACTATTATGAACATTTTTTTGGACCGGTAACTGAACTCAGGACCTCACCCTTGCCAGGCAAGCGCTGTGCCACTGAGCTACTTCAACCCTTATGAACATTTTTAATGACAAAATCTAATCTGTATACTGTATTAGCTCACAAAACATATTATTGCACAAGAAAAAATAAAATACCATATATCTCATTTTTGTCATGAATAGAGGGAAAATGATTATGATTTTTGTAGTTAAGATATTTTATTGAAATTATTATGAATGACAACATTGACTCACTGTGGATTTCCACTTTCACTTGCATTCACCTTTACTTAGAATTTTTCTGATTTGTTTGTATAATTACACAATTTAAAATATTGAAGATATCAAAGCCATCAATCACCTAAGAAAGGAAAAACTTGAGAGTTTATCCCGCTGCTGAAGGCTACTTGTTAAGGACTTGGGATTTAGCCTCTTCCCAATGAGCACTCAGTAGAGTAAGGAGAGTCATGTCTTATAAGTGGCTTTCTCATGATAGTATGCAGAAACCAAAAGGAAGCCAGCTGTGGAGCTCTTGAAAAACATGGCCTTAAAAAGAAATGAAGGCAATGCTGCAACACTAAATAAATAAAGAACGACAACAGGCAGCATTCGCCACCTTGCTAGAGTGCTTGCCAAGGGAAGGCCCAGCTGGTTTCCAGCTGAAGAACTGCAGTGCTGTCTCACCAAGGCTGTGTAGGAGAAGAAGGTACATGGAACCATAGCTAGAAACTGTCAGCCTCGTGGGTAGAATCACGAGTTCAGTTTAAAATTTGCCACTTGGGGTTCTTGAGGGAACACCTCCCAAAATAAAATCATATCCTTGGGTTTTTTGGGTTTTTTTTTTTTTTTTTTTTTTTTTTTTTTTTTCTGGTACTGGGGATTAAATTCAGGACCTTGACTTTTCCGGGAAGGTACTTCTGCAGCTGGGCTAACTCCCCAGCCCCATATACTTGTTTGATGTTTGCATCCATCCATAAAGACAATGTACTACAGAAAGAAAGCGCTGTACAGGGCCGGGGAGACGGCTCAGTAAAATAAGCGCTTGCCTGGCAAGTGCAAGGGCCTGAGTTCAATCTCCAGTTCCACCAAAAAGAAAAAAAAAAAAATAATAATAATAATAATAATAATAATAAATAAATAAAAGAAAGCACTATAGTATAAAGCCAGTTGTCCAATAATGTAAGATAATAGCCATGCTCTATACATCTTATAAATTTAGCTACTAGTCCCACATACTAAGCTCTAAACACTTGAAGTGGGGCTAGTAAGTTTAAAAGGCAGAAATATTTAATTTAATATAAGCTAAAAGTTGTATGTGGCTAGTAGTGGTGCCCATATTAGACTCTGCAGATGTAGAGATGTGTTTGTTCTCAGTTTATTCAGTCTTCTGAGGGAAACTGCAGGTCAATTAGTTTTAGAAATAAACTGAATTTACATTTTAGAAATGAGCTGAGACTAAGACACGGCATACAGCCCTCAAGACATAAAGAGCCTGGGAGTGACACCCAGTAGGCTGTTCGCTACTGCCTCCTCCCCTGTGTACTTGGAGGGTGTGGTTCATTTCACTGGGGAAAACTACAGTAAAGTAACTGAGTCTGTTTTTTGTTTCAGCCAATAGCTGTGAGTATGAAGATCTCCTTAGTAACTGCGAGTCTTTGAAGAGCACAGCTGGCTGTGAACACCAACTGCTCGTGGAGAAGTGCAAGGCCACCTGCAGATGTGAAAACAAAATTTACTGAACCACCCACTGTGCATAGGGCAGGGCAAAGGGGGAAGAGCTGCACCACTTGGGTGGGCAGTAACCACGGGAAAGTTCTCGCTATGCTAGCTACCAATTTGGTCCCACGCAGCAGTACTTCTCACTCTTGGGTATTTAGAAAACCTGCTCTGTACAGCAGTGTTCAAAAGAAGCATTAGCTATGACATCTGCAGACTTTGATAGAATTGCGATTCTTTAATGATTCAGATCAAGCTGAGAATTTTCAAGGCTGTGCTCTCATAGGACTTAGGTCCCTTGAAATTTGGATCAAAATGAAAATTGCTTGTCTCCTGAAGCACCATGATAAAAAAAAAAAAAAAAAGACTGTGACAGCACTGTCATTCCCACTCATCGCATTCAACCTGTGTGAAGAAACACTCAAGGGTGGGCATCTTCGTTTGTCTTACAACTTTTCTTTTAAATGTAATCAGCTTTTGAAATAAATTATCTCAGCAAATAAATGGATGTGATTCTTGGGCAGTATTTTTATAGTTTTTATAATTAACCTCAGAATGCAAATATAGCAGTCCATGAAATAAATTTTTTTTGGTTTTATTTTTTTTAATTTTTTTTACATCAGTTATTTTTATTTTAAATAAAAAAAATAAAAACAATGGTACAAAATCTCAAAACAAGATTTTAGGAGAGTAACAATGGTTAGTACATTGTGTATTGTTACTGCCAAAGTAGTTTCTCATATTACAAGATATAGGCAAAAAATAATAAACAACATAGGTACAAACCT